GGAGAAACAAACACAGACATGTCCACGAGTCTGACTCAGGGTCATATTCACTTATGAAAACATGCCTGCATTAGCTAATCCAGCCCAGAGAGATCCTCCCAACCCCACGCATCCTCAGCTGTGAATATGTGCATTCCTGAGTCATGTTCAGGCTAATATTAATATGAACGTAATTTCAGCATCCCTCTCAAGACATTGACTCATCACTGCCCCAAACGCACCGCAGACTCATACAATGGGACAATATCATCTGAATTTAGACTTGCACGCTCTAGATCTTCTGAAGTGATCAACAGCAGCTGTGAAGAATTTAAAAAATACCTCTCTGCTGGTGATCGCTGTTGTTTATGAGCTGAACATTTGGCTGGAGGTCTGAACTCTTGAGCTGAGTTTCAGCCGAGGAACACTAATCTCACATTAGCAGGTAGAAACATATCCCGATACGTGACATAAGCCAGTTCATGCATTCACAGTCACACACGCATGCACACGCTCATGAATGTCAGGAAGAACTTCCATCAACTTTCATTGCTTTAAATTACGATAATCATGATTCCTAAAAAAACTAATCCAACTAAATTCAGTCATCATTTACTCACCTTATGATGCGAACTCTTTAGTCAAAAAAAAGAAAAGAAAAGGAGTTTAGCAGAATGTTTTGATTAACATTAAATCAAAATTTAAAGTTTCTACCAAACCATAAATATAATTTAAGAAAAACTAATATATATGGTTGCAACAAATTAAAGTGTTTTCAGTGTACAATACAATAGCTTCATGCATTTATAAGGTAATCTTTCCACTATTTTTGTATCTTGACAGACCCCATTCACTGTCGCCAGAGCTATGTGAGGGTGAGTAAATACATTTTCATTTCTGAGTGAACTATTCTGCCCTGCAAAGGCAAACCACAGTCTCAGTGATCACATAGTTCATGCATTTGATTTTGTAGGAAAATATTCCAAAAATTTATGAAATAAGGTATGAATGAGTTCATTTATGAAGCTGTTTTCCACTAGTTAAGTTGGCATAATGAACATTTCTCAGGTTTCATTATTGTAGGGACATTTGGTCACCATAAGGAAAGACAAACAAAACAAAAATGACCACACACATACACCATGTTTGTGTTTCTCTCATGGTGGGCACTTTCCATTTAACACAGAGCTAATGACATTTTCTGACCCGTAACTTAACCCTCACACAAAGCTTTAGGCAGTTCTGCATTTTCATTAAGACATTATTTGTGACCCTGGGCCACAAAACCAGTCATAAGGGTCGACCTTTTTAAAATTGAGATTTATACATCATCTGAAAGCTGAATAAAT